GCAATAGGAGCCCATAACCCGGAGCGAGCAACTCACATGCTAGGCCCGTCAGGTCACGGCGTTCTTACGGACCAGTTTATTTTTAGACAATTTTAGGGCACATTTTTCCTGCACCATGTCTCTGTATGAGCGCATTCAAAGGACAAGATATCAAAAAGCAAATTAAACTAAACGTTATTAAAAGGAAAATATATCATTTAACGTCTAAAGATTTTGCCGACTGGTTTGTGATATTTAAAAGATATTCAAAATTCGCGCCAAAACCGTTCTAAAAACAAACTGGTCCGTGTGAAAACGCCGTGACGCGAGCGCATGGAAGTTGCTCGCTCCGGGTTATGGGTAGACTACCAGTAGTCCCCCATTTTTCCTCAGAGATAGTAGAGCAAGCGAAACGCGAGCGCGCGTGAAAAACACCCCATGCGGGAAAAGGCGACACCCGCCGCGTGTCGCCTTTTCTCGCATGGGGTGATTTTCACGCGCCCTCGCGTTTCGCTCGCTCTACTATCCTTGAGGAAAAATGGGGGACTACTCGTAGTTCAGGTTATGGAGTCCTTGAAGCACTTATAACCGGACACACAGGAAGTGATGTGTTGAGCAAGTGACTGAAACTACAGACTTTTCTTCTCCTCGAGGTTTTCTTAGGACTCCACCTCTTGTTTCAACTGCCTTACCATCTTGGTTAATTCCTGAATAGTCTAAAAATGTATGTAATTAAAAACAACAATAAAAAGGTAAAAAAGAAAAGGAAAAACTAATAATTCCTTAAAAAATCAAGTGGCAACGCTAGCTTACAATAGAGCAAGCAACACAAAACTTTACAATTCGTCTTTATGTTTTTGGAAAGTTACAAATCGTCGTCAACTCTCACACCAGGGGTCTTAAAGTTGGCAGTTCTGGAACAAGCTTTTGTATGTAAATATGATAGTTGTCAGAAATTGGTCGACATATCAACATTCGAAAAGTGGATAGATTTGTTTCGCAACCAGTCAAGTGCCTCATGGAATGCTAAGCTCACGTTTGTTGGCTTTTTCCTGTACAAAACGAAAAAAAGCCACGACTTTAAAGCAGGGAAAAAGGTTACTTCTTGCTTTAATCCAGTTGATCCCTGTCGCTGGTTCTGCATACAATTTTTTGTATTTACATCGAATGCATCATACAAAATTACTCCGAGGAATTCCGAAGGTTGCGCGATAGCCTACAAAGATTCCTGAGGTTACACGAGAACTTTCGACGTTCGCCGAAGACGACCCAAATCCTTCCGAAAGTATATTTCCGAAGATACTACACGAAATATGATTCATCTCATATATTTCTATTAATGATTCTACGCGAGTCGAGCAATTTTTCAATTTCTGAGACAAACGCAGAGTATCAATCGTTTTGTAGGGAGGCAGCGTGGCCGAATGGTCAGCGCGTCGGACTCGCAATCCGGCGGTCCCGGTTTCGAGTCCCGCTCTGGCCACTTGCTGGATTTGCGCTCGGTCGTCCCGAGTTCAAATTCTCGGCCACGCTTGTAAATAGCCAACTGGTTGCCTTCTGCCAGTTGGGGTTTTTAATCCTGTTATGTTGTATTTGAATTATTTGTTTCTAAATATTTGAGTGGAGTGCCTGTAAATTAGCTGACTAGCTAAGTGCACCATAAACATGGCTTTAACTTTTTTTTTTTTTAACTTGCACCACTTCATGTGATTACTGTAAACTAAATGACCTAACTTATAAACGCCCAGTTCCAAACAAAAGCCTCTGATCTAATAAACGCCCTGTAAAACGCCCCCTCTATGCTGTGAAAATTGTATAAGACGCCCCTCTCTTATAAACGCCCCCTTGTCTAATAGACGTCCCTTATGACTGGAGAATTACTCCAAAATACTAGGAATTAGCAAAAAAGAGCAAATCATTCAATTCATTCAGTTACTTGCCTTATTAACAAGACTTTGCGCATTTCATCTTGTCTAAGGCCAAGTTTAAAGTACGGATAGACTAACGACGGCAACACAATAACCCTGGGCGAGGATTCTGACATCGATGTCGGGATTTGAAAGAGCGATTTGGATCTCTAGACGGTCTAGACGTACTAATTGACGGATCGCATATTCCGCTATTTTTTTAACTCCCTTGATGTTTTCGCCGAAAGCATATTAGTTTTGTTGAGTTTGTTACAGTAATGAGAATAAACCCCTTTCTCTTTTAAACGCCCCCGCTTGGACTCCTAAAATTAATTAGACGCCCCGGGCCTCTATTAGGTCATTTACGGTACATTTTCCGCCCCGCCTCCAAAGCCAGGGAAAAACGCCCTGGGGACGAGGTTGCAATGGATGTAATAAAGTGGGTGACCTTTGCATCTAAGAAATTTTTTTGTGACAAAATCTCCTTTACGTACGTACGTACGTCCACCCCTTTTTAGCGGGCTTGAAATGTCACACTTACTAACTTGAAGTCCCGGGTATACATGTATATGTTGTGGTTCAGTTTTATACCTGGTATATCATACATTACCATACCCAAAAACAAAAGAAAGAAAGAATTTAAACCAAGGATAAAACTGAACCACGACATATACAATCTCTGTTAAACTTGATATTGTACATCCATGTTATGGTCATGTGACAGCTGTCAAAAAAGGTATACGCTGACCAGTGTCACATGACTGTATCGCGAACACAGGTGTACAACTAACTGAGGCGACGTATTTTTCAAATTTCTCCGCTGGCCAGTTTTTTGATTTTAATTGATTGTAAGTTCAGGTCAATTTTTTTTAGGAGGAATCAGATTGCTTCTAGCTCATGATGACAAATGTTGAATTACTGCAGAAAGACTTTTCTTAAAAGATGCCACGAGAGCTTCGCTTTTGCCCATGGTTAAATATATATAAAACTGGCAATTGAAACAATACCCATCATCACAGTACTTAATTTTACGTTACAAGACCCCTCTGACAGGCTGCTGTCCCCACTGGTGATGTGCTTCAGTCCCAAACCTTTTTAAGACAAGAGCATAGTTCAATGGTTCAGCCAAATCAATATAAAATCCTGTCCGCGATAGACTTAATATTTTTTGTTTTTACAAGACCGAGTGCGATAAATAATTTATAGGATTAATTTTCACCACATGCGAGTCAACCAACTAATAATGCATATGACTCCACTGGCAATGAGTTTGGGAATGGCACTTTTTTATTGTCATTTCCGTCAATTTCTTCAATTAACAGTAACAGCTTTTCTATCCCTATCCTCACAGTCCTACTTGAATAAATCCCTCTTAATCGGCAGCCCGAGGTTCTATATACGTAGTTATAACTCCTTTTCAAAGCCGTTTTCATTTCCTTTTCAAATGTATTGAAACTGTATAACTACACGTTAGCAAAAGAAAGAGACATCTCGCGGTGATCGCTGATAAACCCTGACTAAATCAATCTTCTTTTACTTGTAAATAATTGTGGCTTTAAAAACGCTGTCCGAAGTGAACACTCATTTCGTCCCTTAGACACCCAAGAGGTCTCCTTCATTTTAAACTCGGTTCTAAATGAAGTATTGGTTCGTTACCGTGTGAGGAAGATAACTCTAATGACCATTTATTTGCTCTGTAAGTGCTCGTAAATGATGTCACCACGCCAAACCTGTTGTAAACCTGCCTACGAAAAAGGAAATTATGGTTGCTACATGAATCGTCCAAGACCGACAAGACTAGAGGTACAGCTATAGCGTAACACTTATGTAAAAGTACTTCAGTAAAATTGTATCAACATTGCATTCTTACCAATAAACGTTGTTTACTTGTTTCAGAAGAAAAAGGATCCATCATCGAATGCACATGTCTTAACACTGCAGTCAATTTTCTCTATGATGATTTTCTTCTCTCTTTTTGTTCTCTTTTGTTTGTGTTTTCCTCATTTTTACAGGCAATATTGACTCTTTCGAGCATTTATTACTGTAAAAAACAAATGGACGCCAGTTTTTTTATCGCCTACGGCTCGAGGTTCCACAACACTTTGACAATGTTATGACTTCATTTTATCATCAATAAGGGGACAGACGACAAAAACTGGCTTCAATTTGTTAAACTGATGGCATGAAAAAATTGTGAATACCATCAGGTTTGATTGTTACAAGCCATCTTAATTTTCTGCTTAAATGATAAAAATTCTGAACTTATACACCTTCACACTTAGGTAGCTTAAGAAAACAGCCGACATTTGGCGACGCTACCACTGGTTTCCCGCCAAATCACGTCTAAGAAACGAGGGCAGAAATTCCATACTGATGACGCGTCACTATCCAGATCTGGGTAGTGCTTCTGATTGGTTGAATCAAATTTACCACGCTGCACGACCAATCAGAAGCACTACCCATATCTGGGTAGTGACGCGTCACCAGCATGGAATTTCTGCACTAGTTTCCTAGACGTCATTTGGCGGGGAAACCAGTGGTAGCGTCGCCAAATGTTAGGTTACTCACTTCAATAGCGCCACTGTATCTCCTCCACCCGAATCACTGCCCCATCCCACTTTCCACTCTGAATTACGCAAACCCTTTCGTTCAATTGCCTCCACTTGGTTCACGTCTCCACTAACAGAACTTTGATCCAAATAATAAGCAACCTACAAATAAAACACAAATCTTCGCCAACTTTTAATTTTCAGTTTTCTTAAAGGATATAAACAAGGTCTTTTCTTAGCTTTTTTGCGATTCTCCAAATTTGGCATGTGTGCTGCAAGACTTGGCTAGGGGAAGCCGGACAAAAATTTTGGATTTCTTGTGAAATGTTTGTGATCCATGCAAAAACCCATCAAAAGTTCAACTCAGTTTTGTATCTTATAGCGAACACAAATTTAACTGTTCTGCGGTGTATCATGGACGAGCCCAAGTTGTTCAGAATTTAAATACCTCGGTATTAGAGGTACTTACCAAGTTCAAGCTCGAGTTCGAGTTTATTTATTAAGACAACATCAGTAATTTTAGACGGAATAATTTCGTTAATACTAGTTCCTTTCGCGAAAGAGTACTTACCAGTACTACGTTACTAATGGAAATGCCCGCGGGTAAATTGAGAATCCAGTTAACCGGTTCGTAGCTACCAAGGACGAGAACGATCGGTCTCTTTGACTTTCCGGGGCTGACGATATTCACAATAGCGTTTCCGGCAGTTGGTGGACGTCTGTTAATAACCTCATAAACAGACAGTACGTGGACCTCGTACTGCGTAGAACTGCTGTCAGGAGTGCAGCTGTAGGTGGTCTGGCGCTGTTGGTTGTTATACCTTGGTTTGGCAAGGGCTGTAGCAGAATTCACCTCGATTTTGCATCCATATACATCAGCTGAAGAAATGAAATAGTAACTCAGAGTGGCAGAGATGGTGATCGTTTTGGAAGTTGTGCAGACAGCCACTATTCACCTCGACTTCAAAGAATAATTGTTAGTAGTCATAGATAAGTGCAAAGCCTCTGCGTTAATCAAACAGGAGCCATTCTTATAACACACCTATTAACTTAGTAATGCAATTTTTACTGACACATGTACCCGATATCTGAGGTTTTAGCTTTTCGTTATCATAACGAAACAACTTACGCAAGCAAGTGTCATAGTTGTAACCTTGACCAGTGCAGACGCAATAACCGTCTTTGCAGACAGCCTTCATTTTGGAATATTGGCCAGTACAATAGAATGAGTTCTGCCATTTATAACACTTTTGCCTGTGTGGATTGGGTGTAGGTGATGGTGAGGTGCTGTATGTAGGTACAGGTGTGGAAACTGGTGTCCCGGCAACTGTTGGAGCTGGTGTGATGGTGGCAGCAGAGCTGGGAGTTGGTGTACCGGCAGCTGTTGGAGTTTGTGTGATGGCGGCAACAGCTGAGCTGCTACTGAGGTTTCCATACCCTGAACCTGCTCAAGAGAAATGCGAAAAATAGTCTGGTAAAATCTAAAATTGATAGAAAGTATGATGTTAACCTGGACAAGAGGACTTTCAAACATGATACTTGTAATTTTCTTTACAACCACACTAATCAATTTAGCCAGGAAAATAGATATACTATCTAAACAGATCGCAAGTACGTTCAAGTAGCTATAAAAAGTGCCAACGAGGCGAATTCGTTTATCTTTTGTGGAATGTGCCTATTCAGATCATCTTTCATAATTTTAGAGGTTTAAAATAGATTCCGCTATAGAAAAGGATGGCACCCAACTTCGAAACAACAACTTTGGCACATTCTAGGCTTTCACTTTTATTAAACAATAACACCATGGCTTAAGCTTTGTTGGTAAATATGAGCAAGTTAGTACTTATGTTTCATGGAAAATTCCATTGTATCAAAGCTATAAACGTTAGAAAGAAAAATATAGTTCAAATGAGGCCTTTGACTGCTGAAATTAAAAATAATGATTAAATTCCGAGCAACAGCGTCATCAGGAATAAGAAAAGTATTTTGCGTGGTATACATAAGAAAAAAGTTGGTGTAAACTAAAATGTGTGAAAAGCGCGCAAGAATGGGGCGGAATGTATTAGAGGTATAAAAATATAAACTTGAATAAAATACAAAGATCTAATGAGCGAGTGTCACAGGACAAAGAGTCTCTTAAAGGCATAATGATAGTCTGAAAAACAAAAGGTCCGCAAATTCGTTGCATTCCTCACGGGAGTTTTGGGCTCTCTCAATGTAAATCGAGCGGCAAAAAAACACGCTGGTTGACAAAATCTCTCGAAAAACACAAATAAATTTAAAAAAAAAAGGTCCGCACATACGTTGCATTCCTCGCGGGAGGTGAGGACTAGCTCAATGTCAATCGACCTGCGAAGAACACGCTGGTTCTGATATAAGTTTTGAGAATATAACCCTATGCCTTGATCAACTACCGCTTAAAATTCAGTTCACAAAGGAAAAGAGAACACTGAAAACCCTGGTTCTGAGTCGAGAAGCGGACACGCTACCTCAATATAAATCGAGCTGCAAAGAACAAGCTAGTTCTGACAAAAATTTGAGCGTAAAACCCTGTTTCTTGATCAGCTGCTGCTTTAAACACAATTCATAAAGCAAACCAGAGCACTAATTGCCCTTTCAAACTAGAAATCGTATTAAAGCTTGCTCACCAGTTAGGTCCTCTTGAACAGACAACGAACAGCTGCACACTAAATCACCCAATCTTGAACCGCGAGTTGTAAATACAAGACCATGACGTCACTACCCAAATATGGGGTCTTACTTACACCCAGATATGGTCAAAAATGCAAATTTTAGAGGGTTACAGAGAATTTGAGAGTTTTTGCCTACATTGCGCGGCGTTATAATTCTGCCGCCGAGTCAACCTCGCTTCTTAGCTCGGTTGCCTCTTTGGCAAAAAACATTACTGTTATGTCGGTTGGTAAGATGGTAAAACGTTAGGTAAACGTACCGTTTGAGGAGCGTATCACCAGTGACCATTCATTCGCTCTGTAAGTACCTGTAAATGACGTCACCACACCAAATCTGTTGTACACTTTTCTATGATAAAAGGCAAAATGTAAGTTGGTATCTTAAAAAACAATATAAAACTGTCTTATATCAAAATTATCAAGATCTGAACAGATTTGAGGATGCATGGATATTTTTCTATCAGAAATGTGAAATAACCTTAAGTAACTTTGCTGTTCAGTAAGTGACTTACTTTAGAAGCCCCACTGTGTCTCCTCCCCCCGAATCACTGCCATAGCCCCTTGGCCACTCTGAATTGCGGTAACTCTTTCGTTCAATTGCTTGCACTTGCTTCACATCTCCACTAACAGAACTTTCATCCAAATAATAAGAAACCTACAAATAAAACACAACTCTCCCTCACCAACATTTCTTTTCTTGTTTGAAAGACAAGATGATTATTTCATGGTTTTATTTTGAAAGTATAATAAAGACTAGTCTAGCTCTGAGTGGAATGATTTTTTCCTTTTTACGTTCATGGTGTGCGAATGTACTTACCAATATTACTTTACTGATGGAAATACCAACGGGCAAATGAAGAACCCAGTTAACAGGTTCGTAGCTACCAAGGACGAGTACAATAGGTCTGTTTGACTTTCCACGACTGACGATATTCACATCAGCATTTTCACCTACTGGAGGACGTCGGTGGATAGCCTCAGCTTCGTAAACAGACAATATGTGGACCTCGTATTGGGTGGAACTGCTGCCAGGGGTGCAGCTGTAGGTGGTCGGCCTCTGTTGGTTGTTATACCGTGCTTTGGCAAGAGCTGTAGCAGAATTCACCTCAATTTTACATCCATATCCATCAGCTGAAGAAATGAAAAAATAACTCAGAGTGACAGAGATGGAGATGGTTTGGGGGGTTGTGCAGACAGCGCGTGATTTATTCAGTCAATTGGAGTTTGCCTATATAAAGTGTGTGTGTCTTTGGGAAACATCTAGGAAGAGCAAGTCCTAACCAACACTCTTGAGAACCCCCTTAGCTTCCAAGCAGTAGACCCCTCTATATAAAAAATATGCTTAACATTGGTCATAGATAAGTGCAAATCCTCTGTGTTAATCAAACATGAGCCATTCTTATAACACCAATTAACTTAGCAATGCAATTTTTACTGACACATCTATCCGATATCTGAGGTTTTAGCTTTCGTTAACATAACGAGACAACGTACGTAAGCAAGTGTCATAATTGTAGCCTTGACCAGTGCAGACGCAATATCCGTCTTTGCAAACAGCCTTCCTTCTGGTATATTGGCCAGTACAATAGAATGAGTTCTGCCATTTATAACACTTTTGCCTGTGTGGATTGGGTGTAGGTGATGTTGTGCAGACAGCCACTATTCACCTCGACTTCAAAGAATAATTGTTAGTAGTCATAGATAAGTGCAAAGCCTCTGCGTTAATCAAACAGGAGCCATTCTTATAACACACCTATTAACTTAGTAATGCAATTTTTACTGACACATGTACCCGATATCTGAGGTTTTAGCTTTTCGTTATCATAACGAAACAACTTACGCAAGCAAGTGTCATAGTTGTAACCTTGACCAGTGCAGACGCAATAACCGTCTTTGCAGACAGCCTTCATTTTGGAATATTGGCCAGTACAATAGAATGAGTTCTGCCATTTATAACACTTTTGCCTGTGTGGATTGGGTGTAGGTGATGGTGAGGTGCTGTATGTAGGTACAGGTGTGGAAACTGGTGTCCCGGCAACTGTTGGAGCTGGTGTGATGGTGGCAGCAGAGCTGGGAGTTGGTGTACCGGCAGCTGTTGGAGTTTGTGTGATGGCGGCAACAGCTGAGCTGCTACTGAGGTTTCCATACCCTGAACCTGCTCAAGAGAAATGCGAAAAATAGTCTGGTAAAATCTAAAATTGATAGAAAGTATGATGTTAACCTGGACAAGAGGACTTTCAAACATGATACTTGTAATTTTCTTTACAACCACACTAATCAATTTAGCCAGGAAAATAGATATACTATCTAAACAGATCGCAAGTACGTTCAAGTAGCTATAAAAAGTGCCAACGAGGCGAATTCGTTTATCTTTTGTGGAATGTGCCTATTCAGATCATCTTTCATAATTTTAGAGGTTTAAAATAGATTCCGCTATAGAAAAGGATGGCACCCAACTTCGAAACAACAACTTTGGCACATTCTAGGCTTTCACTTTTATTAAACAATAACACCATGGCTTAAGCTTTGTTGGTAAATATGAGCAAGTTAGTACTTATGTTTCATGGAAAATTCCATTGTATCAAAGCTATAAACGTTAGAAAGAAAAATATAGTTCAAATGAGGCCTTTGACTGCTGAAATTAAAAATAATGATTAAATTCCGAGCAACAGCGTCATCAGGAATAAGAAAAGTATTTTGCGTGGTATACATAAGAAAAAAGTTGGTGTAAACTAAAATGTGTGAAAAGCGCGCAAGAATGGGGCGGAATGTATTAGAGGTATAAAAATATAAACTTGAATAAAATACAAAGATCTAATGAGCGAGTGTCACAGGACAAAGAGTCTCTTAAAGGCATAATGATAGTCTGAAAAACAAAAGGTCCGCAAATTCGTTGCATTCCTCACGGGAGTTTTGGGCTCTCTCAATGTAAATCGAGCGGCAAAAAAACACGCTGGTTGACAAAATCTCTCGAAAAACACAAATAAATTTAAAAAAAAAAGGTCCGCACATACGTTGCATTCCTCGCGGGAGGTGAGGACTAGCTCAATGTCAATCGACCTGCGAAGAACACGCTGGTTCTGATATAAGTTTTGAGAATATAACCCTATGCCTTGATCAACTACCGCTTAAAATTCAGTTCACAAAGGAAAAGAGAACACTGAAAACCCTGGTTCTGAGTCGAGAAGCGGACACGCTACCTCAATATAAATCGAGCTGCAAAGAACAAGCTAGTTCTGACAAAAATTTGAGCGTAAAACCCTGTTTCTTGATCAGCTGCTGCTTTAAACACAATTCATAAAGCAAACCAGAGCACTAATTGCCCTTTCAAACTAGAAATCGTATTAAAGCTTGCTCACCAGTTAGGTCCTCTTGAACAGACAACGAACAGCTGCACACTAAATCACCCAATCTTGAACCGCGAGTTGTAAATACAAGACCATGACGTCACTACCCAAATATGGGGTCTTACTTACACCCAGATATGGTCAAAAATGCAAATTTTAGAGGGTTACAGAGAATTTGAGAGTTTTTGCCTACATTGCGCGGCGTTATAATTCTGCCGCCGAGTCAACCTCGCTTCTTAGCTCGGTTGCCTCTTTGGCAAAAAACATTACTGTTATGTCGGTTGGTAAGATGGTAAAACGTTAGGTAAACGTACCGTTTGAGGAGCGTATCACCAGTGACCATTCATTCGCTCTGTAAGTACCTGTAAATGACGTCACCACACCAAATCTGTTGTACACTTTTCTATGATAAAAGGCAAAATGTAAGTTGGTATCTTAAAAAACAATATAAAACTGTCTTATATCAAAATTATCAAGATCTGAACAGATTTGAGGATGCATGGATATTTTTCTATCAGAAATGTGAAATAACCTTAAGTAACTTTGCTGTTCAGTAAGTGACTTACTTTAGAAGCCCCACTGTGTCTCCTCCCCCCGAATCACTGCCATAGCCCCTTGGCCACTCTGAATTGCGGTAACTCTTTCGTTCAATTGCTTGCACTTGCTTCACATCTCCACTAACAGAACTTTCATCCAAATAATAAGAAACCTACAAATAAAACACAACTCTCCCTCACCAACATTTCTTTTCTTGTTTGAAAGACAAGATGATTATTTCATGGTTTTATTTTGAAAGTATAATAAAGACTAGTCTAGCTCTGAGTGGAATGATTTTTTCCTTTTTACGTTCATGGTGTGCGAATGTACTTACCAATATTACTTTACTGATGGAAATACCAACGGGCAAATGAAGAACCCAGTTAACAGGTTCGTAGCTACCAAGGACGAGTACAATAGGTCTGTTTGACTTTCCACGACTGACGATATTCACATCAGCATTTTCACCTACTGGAGGACGTCGGTGGATAGCCTCAGCTTCGTAAACAGACAATATGTGGACCTCGTATTGGGTGGAACTGCTGCCAGGGGTGCAGCTGTAGGTGGTCGGCCTCTGTTGGTTGTTATACCGTGCTTTGGCAAGAGCTGTAGCAGAATTCACCTCAATTTTACATCCATATCCATCAGCTGAAGAAATGAAAAAATAACTCAGAGTGACAGAGATGGAGATGGTTTGGGGGGTTGTGCAGACAGCGCGTGATTTATTCAGTCAATTGGAGTTTGCCTATATAAAGTGTGTGTGTCTTTGGGAAACATCTAGGAAGAGCAAGTCCTAACCAACACTCTTGAGAACCCCCTTAGCTTCCAAGCAGTAGACCCCTCTATATAAAAAATATGCTTAACATTGGTCATAGATAAGTGCAAATCCTCTGTGTTAATCAAACATGAGCCATTCTTATAACACCAATTAACTTAGCAATGCAATTTTTACTGACACATCTATCCGATATCTGAGGTTTTAGCTTTCGTTAACATAACGAGACAACGTACGTAAGCAAGTGTCATAATTGTAGCCTTGACCAGTGCAGACGCAATATCCGTCTTTGCAAACAGCCTTCCTTCTGGTATATTGGCCAGTACAATAGAATGAGTTCTGCCATTTATAACACTTTTGCCTGTGTGGATTGGGTGTAGGTGATAGTGAGGTGCTGTATGTAGGTACAGGTGTGGAAGCTGGCGTCCCGGCAGCTGTTGGAGTTGGTGTGATGGTGGCAGCAGACCTGGGAGTTGGTGTACCGGCAGCTGTTGGAGTTTCTGTGATGGCGGCAACAGAGCTGCTACTGAGGTTTCCATACCCTGAACCTGCGCAAGATAAATGCCATCAATGGTCTAGCGAAATCTAAAATTGATTGAAATTATAGTGTAACCTTGCACAAGAAGTGTTTCCAAAGATTCTTTGCGACCACAATAATCAGGTTAAGTAGGAAAATGGTACTGAATCTGAACAAACCGCCAGTAGGTTCAAGTAGTTATGGAAAACATTACTTAAGTAGGTTGAGGATGATCGCCCTGGTGAACGTAGTCCGGAATAGGACTGTTGTTCACAGTGACAATAACAGCAGTCCTATTCAGGACTACGTTCACCCGAAGTTCAGCTGGACGATCACGCTCAACCTACTTGTAAAATGACTCCTGGGTTCAAACCTTTCGCAAAAACATCACTGTTATTTCGGTTGTAAAGAAGATACAACGCTATTTATACGTACCGCTTGAGGAACGTATCACCAGTGACCATTCATCTGCTATGTAAGTACCTGTAAATGACGTCACCACACCGAATCTGTTGTACACTTTTCTATAAAAATAAAGGCAAAATGTTAGTTGATATCCAAAATGAACAATGAACAATAAAAGACTGTCGTATATCAAAATTATCAAGATCTCAGCAGACTTGAGGTTGCTTGGATTTTTTTTTTCTTTAAGAAATGTGGAATTCCTTCAAATAACTTCGCAGTTTAGTTAGTTACTTACTTTAGAAGCTCCACTGTATTTCCTCCCCCCGAATCACTGCCATATCCATAATGGTAACTCTTTCGTTCAATTGCTTTCACTTGGTTTACGTCTCCACTGACGGAGCTTTTATCCAAATAATAGGAAACCTGCAAATAAAACCAACTCTCCATTATCAACATTTCGATCAGTCCTGTCTTGTTTGAAAGATTATTTCTTTATTTTACCATAAAATGATAGCATCACGGAATATTTTGGAATTTTGGTTAACATAAATAATGTATCTTTCCCTTGAAATGGTACCTTCTAATCCATAAAAACCATCAAAACATCTGTCTTTTGTCATTGTTTACACATTTACATAGTTCTTAAGAGTGTCATGATCGCAGACATTGCACACTTTCTAATAATAGACCTTGTCACGGTTTTCGACGCCATCTTGAAGAGTAGGCAAACGTGTGAGAAATTACAGTGTTTGTATGAGAATCTAATGTCGAATAATTTCCGTAAAACGGCTGTTCTGAACAAAATATCAATTGTAAACTTAAGCTACAAAGCAAGGGATTGTCCTACAAAAATTGGGGGGCGAACCTGTGCCTAAATTTCTCCAGAGGCTTGCTTTAGATTTTCGATATATTTGTCTGTAATTTTCGCGGGACTTTCTTACGGACAAATGTATAGAAAATTTTAAAAAGTGGTTCTAGGCCTTCTAGTGCCTGGAACGCCCTCAGATTTTTTCAGGAGAATCCTTAGGAGTGAAGCTTTAGTTTACAAATCATATTTTTTTCAGAACAGCCGTTCTACGGAAATTGCTCGACATTAGATTCTCATACAATCACTGTAATTTCTCATGGGTTTGCCTACTCGTCAAGATGGCGTCGAAAACCGTGACAAGGTCTATTATAGTCCATTTTACAGTTACAGGTGGAAACGAGGCTGGAGTTGACCATGTTTGATACAACCCTTCCCGCTTTAGAGTGGTTTTCGTTTGAGTGTCGTAAAACCAAAACCAAAGTAATTACTCTGGCCAATCACATAGGACACAGAAAATACATCGAACCAATCAAAAGTCGAAGTAATTACATGCGGCTGACGCAAAGCGCGGGAAAATGCATGCGAGCGCGTCACAATTGGCTTTGGTTTTACTTCTGATTGGATGAAAAGGTGGCGCGAATCTTTTAAGCCAATCACATCGTGTAGAAAGTGCAAAACCAATTACTTTTCGACACTCAAATGAAAACCGCTCTATTATGTAAATCATGTTGTTCTTATGGTAAGTAGTATTTTTTGGGCATAACTTCCATATGAAAAGGACAGAGGTCAAAACAAGGTCAACCTCGGCCACGTTCACACCTTACAGCGGGTAGAATTTTCGACCGATTGAAGAATTTTAACAGAAACTTTGTTCACACGGATTTCGCGCTCATCACACGGAACTGTCGAACCAGCTTGAATTTTAACTTCTGTCACAATCTCGGCCCCAGAGCTCTTGTGCGCATGGCTTTTGTCAGAGGTTTTACCATCTGCTCATGCGCAGAGCGATGCCTAAGCAAATTCAAAGTGGTGTCTCCCAGCTGAGTGACCATGATCCATGCAACTTCGCCTTATAAACCGTTCAAAAATTTAGCCGGTCACTGTGTTAACACCTCGCCGTTCAAATTTTCGACCGTACCGGTAAAAAATTTGACCTCGATTTTTGCGTTCAAATATTCGTACGGTTAGAGTGGTTCCGTGTGAACGGAACATCTAAACGTACGAATTTTCGACCGGTACCGTCTGAATGTTGCCTCAAGCTCACATTCACTCAAAGGCTAGCATACTAAGCTCACAACTGTAAAATGGTCTATTCAGCAAAAATTGCTCAGTTTTCATATGCCTCGGCTATACATTTATTTTAAGTAAACAAAATATTGACTAGACGTTGTGTTATATAAACTAAGGAGTAAAAAGTTTAAAATCCTGGCCCAAGACTATCGCCTGTCACTCAGGCTACCCAATGTGGAATACATCATGTCAATCAGGGGTAAAAAGACTTTGTAAAAATTACATTGCCCAATCGACTATGAGAACAGCAACATTGCCTACCCTATACCATAATTAATTGCAGTGACTTGTCACTGAGCAACTGAAGAATGATTTTTTAAAAAATATAATTCCTGCTGTGCGAATACAACAACAACAAACAAATTTATTCACACTTACTTAATTTATTATGACGGAGGAAGATTAGGGAGAGTAAAAATAGTAACCCTAAGGGTAGGTGCTAGGGCGAAAGAAGGAAGGGGGAGGGGGAGGGGAGAAAAAAAATACGCCCTTCTCTCTTCTCGCCCCCTACCCCGCTCCTTTTGACTCACCCCATTTTGTCCCCTCTTTTCGAGTTTCAACATGGCGCTTTTGCGAGCAAAACATTCGCGCGGCCGAAGAAAACGCCTGCACTGCAGGCTACGAGACAGTGGAAGGAAAAAGACATATTTTCCTCGTCTATAAAAATGAACTAGACAACAATTACGGTACAATAAATTAAAGATCATAAGTGAAATAGAAATGAATAAACCGGCAACAGTAGTAATAACAAGGGAGACTAAGATGAAAGCGAAGTAACTTGCGATGAAGTAGAGAACAACTTTATAAGACGGGGGATCTCATCATAACCGTCTTCTGAATGGAAGAATTTCCAAGTAAATCCTTAACTTTTTTTCTCAATCTTTTTCTTCTTTAAACGCGGCAGGATTAGCTAAGTCGATAGAGCGCTTCACTGCAGAACGACAGGTCGCGGGTTTGATTCCCGGTGTTGGACCGATACTGAGGATCTTAAAATAAATGAGTAATGAAGGCACTGTCTTTTCCACGCAAACGGCAAGTCCTTCGCGTAGCTCAAATGACCACAAAAAATGACAGCCCCGTCTCCACTAAGAGACGTAAAAATAGTGTCCCCTGCATAAGTACTTTCCTGGTAAATAAATGGACACTCAATTAGAGCGCGTTTTTTTCCGAAAATGGGATCGCTTGAGCATTTTTATTGACTAAGGGGTACGGTTCAAACTTTGATCCCAATTGTTGAAAAGGTTAAGTATTTTTTTTGCGTCCTAGACAACTAAACATACGTACCAATACTACTTTACTGATGGAAATACCAACGGGCAAATGAAGAATCCAGTTAACAGATTCGTAGCTTGCAAGTACGAGTACAATAGGTCTGTTTGACTTTCCACGACTGACGATATTCACATTTGCGTTACCGGCTGTTGGAGGACGCCTGTTAATAACCTCGTACACAGACAGTACATGGACCTCGTACTGTGTGGAACTGCTGCTAGGCGTGCAACTATAAGTAGAATAGCCCTGTTGTTGTTGGTTGTTTGGTTTGGCGAGAGCTGTAGCAGAATTCACCTCTATTTTACATCCATATGCATCAGCTGAAGAAATGAAAAAGTTCCCAGAGTAATAATCAGCATAAATAGAACAAAAAGACCACAATCAGAGATGCAGAGATGGAGTTGATGTTTGGGATTGCTGCATCACTCGTGGTACTGACGTGACTAACCAATTCTTCTTCTTTTAATAAACCCTTCCACGGTTTTTCCAACTTTTACCTTGGACCAGTTAGCGAAAATCTTTAAATACGGCTAAAAAGAACGCCTTAAAAATAATGAAGATGCCAATTTTGAACGTGATTTGTTGAACATTAACGAGGATAATACTGCGCAAAGTGGCCGAATTTTACAGACGTTTGGACGTTGGAGGCAAGTACAAACCTTGTAAAATTTCGCGATTTTCTCGCGAATTTCTCGCAATATCTTTGCTTGCTTTAACGTATTAACTTTAAATTCGGTAAGTTTCCCAATCTTAAGGCCCTTTTTCCAACAGTGTTCACACCTCATACTCTTAGAAAAAGATCAGGGACGTCCTAAACAGCACAGTATGAAACCTCCTTAAAAATATAGGCTCTATTTTCTAGAAACGTTATTTTGAGTCAACATAATAAAAGGCTAAATCGGGCTGTGGAATGCGGTTATATCTTTGTCTTGGCACCTTTGTACGTCTTCTGTCGGCATCTGAGTGTCAGCTTACTCTACCTGATCTATGGAAATCACAAGAAAACAACTTACGCAAGCAAGTGTCATAGTTGTAGCCTTGACCAGTGCAGACGCAATATCCGTCTTTGCAAACAGCCTTCCTTCTGGTATATTGGCCAGTACAATAGAATGAGTTCTGCCATTTATAACACTTTTGCCTGTGTGGATTGGGTGTAGGTGATGGTGAGGTGCTGTATGTAGGTACAGGTGTGGAAGCTGGTGTCCCGGCAACTGTTGGAGTTGGTGTGATGGTGGCAGCAGAGCTGGGAGTTGGTGTCCCGGCAGCTGTTGGAGTTTCTGTGATGGCGGCAACAGCTGAGCTGCTACTGAGGTTTCCATACCCTGAACCTGCTCAAGAGAAATGCGAAAATAGTCTGGTAAAATCTAAAATTGATAGAAAGTATGATGTTAACCTGGACAAGAGGACTTTCAAACATGATACTTGTAATTTTCTTTACAACCACACTAATCAATTTAACCAGGAAAATAGTACTATCTAAACAGACCGCAAGTAGGTTCAAGTAGCTATGACTAGGGGTACCTTCCGGCAAGTGCCAACGAGGAGAATTCGCTTATCTTTTGTGGAATGTGCCTATTCAGATCTTCTTTCATAATTTTAGAGGTTTAAAATGGATTCCGCTATAGAAAAGGATGGCACCCGACTTCAAAACAACAACTTTGGCACATTCTAGGCTTTCACTTTTATTAAACAATAACAACATGGCTTAAAGCTTTGTTGGTAAATATGAGCAAGTTAGTACTTATGTTTCATGGAAAATTCCATTGTATCAAAGCTATAAACGTTAGAAAGAAAAATATAGTTCAAATGAGGCCTTTGACTGCTGAAATTAAAAATAATGATTAAATTCCGAGCAACAGCGTCATCAGAGATAAGAAAAATATTTTGCGTGGTAATATACAGAAGAAAAAAGTTGGTGTAAACTAAAATGTGTGAAAAGCGCGCAAGAATGGGGCGGAATGTATTAGAGGTATAAAAATATAAACTTAAATAAAATACAAAGATCTAATGAGCAAGTGTCACAGTCTGAAAAACAAAAGGTCCGCAAATTCGTTGCATTCCTCACGGGAGTTTTGGGCTGTCTCAATGTAAATCGAGCAGCAAAAAAACATGCTGGTTGACAAAATCTCTCGAAAAACATAAATAAATTTAAAAAAAAGGTCCGCAAATACGTTGCATTCCTCGCGGGAGGTGAGGACTGGCTCAATGTAAATCGACCCGCGAAGAACACGCTGGTTCTGATATAAGTTTTGAGAATATAACCTTATGCCTTGATCAACTACCGCTTAAAATTCAGTTCAAAAAGGGAAAGAGAACACTGAAAACCCTGGTTCTGAGTCGAGAAGCGAACACGCTACCTCAATACAAATCGAGCTGCAAAGAACAAGCTAGTTCTGACAAAAATTTGAGCGTAAAACCCTGTTCCTTGATCAGCTGCTGCTTTAAACACAATTCATAAAGCAAACCAGAGCACTAATTGCCCTTTCAAACTAGAAATCGTATTAAAGCTTGCTCACCAGTTAGGTCCTCTTGAACAGACAACGAACAGCTGCCCACTTAATCACCCAACCTTGAACCACGAGTTTTAAATACAACACCATGACGTTACTACCCAAATATGGGGTCTTACTTACACCCAAATATGGTCAACAATGAAAATTTTAGAGGGTTACGCAGAATTTGAGAGTTTTTGCCTACATTGCGCGGCGTTATAATTCTGCCGCCGAGTCAACCTCTCTTCTTAGCTCGGTTGCCTCTTTGGCAAAAAACATTACTGTTATGTCGGTTGGTAAGATGGTAAAACGTTAGGTAAACGTACCGTTTGAGGAGCGTATCACCAGTGACCATTCATTCGCTCTGTAAGTACCTGTAAATGACGTCACCACACCAAATCTGTTGTACACTTTTCTATGATAAAAGGCAAAATGTAAGTTGGTATCTTAAACAACAATATAAAACTGTCTTATATCAAAATTATCAAGATCTGAACAGATTTGAGGATGCATGGATATTTTTCTATAAGAAATGTGGAATAACCTTAACTTTGCTGTTCAGTAAGTGACTTACTTTAGAAGCCCAACTGTATTTCCTCCCCCCGAATCACTGCCGTAGCCCCTTGGCCACTCTGAATTGCGGTATCTCTTTCGTTCAATTGCTTGCACTTGCTTCACATCTCCACTAACAGAACTTTCATCCAAATAATAAGAAACCTACAAATAAAACACAACTCTCCCTCACCAACATTTCTTTTCTTGTTTGAAAGACAAGATGATTATTTCATGGTTTTATTTTGAAAGTATAATAACGACTAGTCTAGCTCTGAGTGGAATGATTTTTTCCTTTTTACGTTCATGGTGTGCGAATGTACTTACCAATATAACTTTACTGATGGAAATACCAGAGGGTAAATTGAGAATCCAGTTAACAGGTTCGTAGCTTGCAAGTACGAGTACAATAGGTCTGTTTGGCTTTCCCCGAATGACGATATTCACATTAGCATTTTCACCTACTGGAGGACGCCTGTGGATAGCCTCAGCCTCGTACACAGACAATATGTGGACCTCGTACTGCGTGGAACTGCTGCCAGGGGTGCAGCTGTAGGTGGTCTGGCGCTGCTGGTTGTTATACCGTGTTTTGGCAAAGGCTGTAGCAGAATTCACCTCGATTTTGCATCCATATGCATCAGCTAAAGAAATGAAAAAATAACTCAGAGTGACAGAGATGGAGATGGTTTTGGGGGTTGTGTAGACATCGCGCGATTTATTCAGTCAATTACAGTTTGCCTTTATAAAGTGAGTGTGTCTTTGGGAAACATCTAGGAAGAGCAAGTCCTAAACAACACTCTTGAGAACCCCCTTCCAAGCAATAGACCCCTCTATATAAAAACTATACTTAAAAGTAGTCATAGATAAAAGCAAAGCCTCTGTGTTAATCAAACGGGAGCCATTCTTATAACACCTATTACCTTAGCAATGCAATTTTCACTGACATATCTATCCCATACCTGAGGTTTTAGCTTTTCGTTATCATAACGAGACCACTTACGCAAGCAGGTGTCATAGTTGTAGCCTTGACCAGTGCAGACGCAATATCCGTCTTTGCAAACAGTGTTCATCTTATAAGAGCCAGGACAATAGCTTACGTTGAACAAACACTTTTGCCTGTGTGGATTGGGTGTAGGTGATGGTGAGGTGGTGTATGTAGGTATAGGTGTGGAAGCTGGTGTCCCGACAGCTGTTGGAGTTGGGGTGATGGCCGCAGTAGAGCTGCTACCAAGGTTTCCATACCCAGAACCTGAACAAGAAAAATGCGAACCGGTAAAATCTAGAATTGATAGAAATTATAGAGTAAACTTGGACAAAAAGACTTTCCAAAGATGACGCTAGTAATTTTCGTTACAATTATATTAATCATTTTAACCAGGAAAATGGTACGTACTATCTAAACAGACTGCATGTAGGTTCAAGTAGCTATATGAAAAAGCATTACTGTTATTTAGGTTGTGAGGAAGCCGATAAATCATTATGTATACGTACCGCTCGAAGATCGTATCACCAGTGACCATTCATTCGCTCTGTAAGTGCCGGTAAATGACGTCACCACACCAAATCTATTGTATACTTCTCTATAATAAAAGGCAAAATGTAAGTTGATATCTTAAACAACAATATAAAACAGTCTTATATCAAAATTATCAAGATCTGAACAGACTCAATGATGCATGGATATTTTTCTATAAGAAATGCGGAATAACCTTGAATAACTTTAATGCTGTTCAGTTACTGACTTACTTTAGAAGCCCAACTGTATTTCCTCCTCCCGAATCACTGCCATAGCCCCTTGGCCACTCTGAATTGCGGTAACTCTTTCGTTCAATTGCTTGCACTTGGTTCAGATCTCCACTAACAGAACTTTTATTCAAATAATAAGCAACCTACAAATCAAACACAACTCTTGCTCATTAAACATTTCTTTTCTTGTTTGAAAGACAAGATCGATAATTATTTCTACGTTTTATTCTGAAAGTATAATAACATAACATTTTCAAAAAGCATACCCTAAAATTGACATGTGGTAAAAAAAAAATGTCGTAACGACAGGTCTCTGAGTAGAATGACTTTTTTTCTTTTTCAGTTCATGATGTGCGAATATACTTACCAATACAATTTTACTGATGGAAATACCAGCGGGTAAATGAAGAATCCAGTTAACAGGTTCGTAGCTTGCAAGTACGAGTACAATAGGTCTGTTTGACTTTCCTCGACTGACGATATTCACATTTGCGTTACCGGCTGTTGGAGGACGCCTGTTAATAACCTCGTACACAGACAGTACATGGACCTCGTGCTGTGTGGAACTGCTGCTAGGCGTGCAACTATAAGTAGAATAGCCCAGTTGTTGTTGGTTGTTTGGTTTGGCAAGGGCTGTAGCAGAATTCACCTCGATTTTACATCCATATGCATCCGCTGAAGAAATGAAATAGTTACTAGAAATTAGCATCAGTTGAATAACACAACAAGTTGAGGGGGCTGGGTTGGAGAATTAAAGGAGTGTGTGTGTGTTAAGCGAATTACATTTAAGTTTTATTACTTAAAACACATTTCGTAGTATGTTAACGGTTGTGATCTGTTCTAGATTTATGCATTTGATTGTATTGATTTGTCTGTACAACTGTAACAAAACTACTTACGCAAGCAAGTATTATAATCGTAGTCTTGACTATTACAGACGCAGTAACCATCTTTGCAGACAGCCCCCATTCTATACGAACCAGAGCAGTAGTTTCCCAAACATCTCTGCCGCTGTCCAGAAACATTATTTAAGTAGGAGCTGATCAAGGTAAGCAAAATAGCTAACGCAAAGAAATTGGTGTTCATGATCCTCAGCTGTTTACTGCGAAGACAAAAAGTTTTTTAAGGTTAAGAAGTTTGTGAAACTCTTCCTAGCAAGAATCTTTCATTAAAATTGGGAAATTTCCGGGATTATATCACACCTAATAAATACCTGTCTGCCTCTGATGAATGAACATCAGCGCTACTACATGTAATTCTAACACCTAATGTCTTAAAGGGGGATTTAGGAAAGAGTAAACTACTAATGAATCAAAGCTGTCGTTGGACTGCTACAATCGAGTTCTTACCGGCGAATCAGGTCAGGAAAAGCTGAGGCGTTGTTTCTTTTGTAGTCTTTGTATCTCGGTGCTTATCAGTTGAATTCCCTAACAATCCTAAACAAGAACTTACTACACTCTAAAAGGACTTTGGTTTTCCCGCTATACTAACAACAGTACATTTGCATAAATCATGATAAATCGCATGTACAGAAAATTTACGAACTTACAATATTGTGTACCATACACACAGGATGACCGAATGCGACCCCTCTTCTCAATAGATAGACTACTAAATATTACTTGGAGGTTCTTATCTAGATTGAAGGGTTATTTATCATTACCGCATTTACAGGAGAAAGGAAATATCTCGAATTAATTAATCGTTGACAGTGGCATTGTTCCTTATATGACATTCTTAAATATAAAGGATTTCGTTTATCGTTTGTCTCAGTTTGTCACTTAGATATTGATCGCGACGCCTCGACCGCGATAGTGTAAAATTTACTGAGTACTGTAGGACTATTTGTATCACCTTGCTCATGGTTGGTTGGTTTCGATCCAAAGCATGGTTGGCATTATCAGAGGAGGAAACTGAGGAAACTTACTCGCGGGTTTTTACTGTATTCGCAGGGCCTCGCTACCACTTTGTGTCAGACAGACTCCGGTATTGCACTGATTCCCCTTTCCAGGTGCCCAAGTTTTCCCGTTCGCTTTGTCTGGTACATATACCGAGAAATAAGTAGTTTCGTGCCAGTTTCGTTCATAAGGAAATATTTTGGACAGTTTTTATAGGCTCATTTACGTGTTTGAGAAACTGTCAACTTGAATCCGACGTTGGCCGTTTGCCGTAAACGTGAGTCTAAATCTCTCTGTTCGCTTGATAAATGGTTCATTGCTTACTTAAAGACCGTAATAAATGGCTGTTACTCTTTGTACATTGAATGTTACGAGGAATTCCTGAGTTACAGTTCGGTTAAAGGGGTCAAATCAAATGCAAGTCCGTTAAATAAGACTTCAGAGATTTGTTTAGTTGAAAGGTGGACTAAACCGAGACGCCACACTTACCTCGTTAGTGTGGGTAATCTAATCTCTGGCCCCAATTCTCTGTGACACTGAAGACTCGCGTTGTAGAAATAAACGTATTTAATGCCTATAAAATCCTAGAATGTGTAACAATCAACCGAAAAGATCTCAGTTACTCCGTACGTGCTCTAGAAAACCTATCCTACTTATCACATGATTCGAAATTCGATAGTTCAATCACTTAGCAACATGAAAAATAAAAGTAACGATTTCTTAAGCTGTAAAACAACACGTCACGCAGTCAAAACATTTCTTACACACTCCCCCTATTAAAGTTCGAAAAAACTTTAATATAGCTAATTATTGGTACTCAATTGATCTCACTGTTCATTGTATCCTCTAAATCAGAAAGAATAATTGCGAAATAAAATGCTAACTCGTTCGATTATAAATGCATAAAATAGTCCCGATATTGAGTTCATTAGCGTGACGAACTGTCACACAATGTTCTTTGCAACTTCATCTACAGGAAGTTCGGCGTCGGTACTTCAGTCCTCCTCGTTCTCGTTCGCCATTATTCCTACCAAACGATCCGCCGCTGCGCGCCTTGCTTCTCGCCCCGCCCTGACCACCGGTCGCTGCTGTTGAACATCGCCGCTCGGTCCGTCGTTACCATCAGAGGTACTGGAGTCATTACCTACGCCACCGATTTCCAAATCGCACACCAACTGTTGGGGCCTCTCGATGACGTACCCACTGCCAGTTAGGATCTTGTATCCTCTGGTGACTCCATCCTTTCCAACGATTGGGTTAATGATACGGCCAACTTTCCAGTTTGCTTTGTTCTTCGTCGTGTCTTTTATCAATACCAGTGAACCCTTTTCCATACAAGTCGTACCATGTCGCGCTTCGGGCCGAGAGTTAAAACGCTCCTGCAAGGCGTGAAGGTACTCATTTAGCCAACGTTTACGGACGTTATCTCGGCAAGTCTTCAAATATCTTAGTCGTCTGGTCATCTCTTCCCTGTCGCTCATCTCATCGCGATTTTCTTCAAGGTAAGGTGCTGGTTGCCCACGCAACAGTAGATTTGGTGTGATCACCGGTGTTTCAAATTCTTCTCCCATGTAGCAAAGTGGTCGGTTGTTCAGGAATGATTCCACGTCCAACAAAACCTCCTCAAGCTCTTCAAATCTCAACAAAGCTTGTCCAATTGCTTTAGAAAGAGCGTTCTTCATGATGCCAATCAACCTCTCGAAGAATCCACTCCACCACGGCGCGCGGGACATGTTAAATTTCCATCCGATCTCCTTTGTGGCTAGATAGTTAAAGAGGTTCTCGTCTTTCTGTAGGGTCGAGAGCCACTTTTTCATTGCTTGAAAGGTCTTGGCGTTGTCACTGACTATCAAATCTGGCGCGCCTCGTCGTACAACGAACTCTTTTAAGCCTCGTTTTGAACTCTTCGGCTGTTATGTCCTTACAAAGCTTCAAGTGTACCGCCCTTGTACTTGCGCATGTGAACAGTGCAACGTAAGCCTTTCCAGTCTCGCTTCCAGATTTGTACAGGAGTGGCCCAGCAAAGTCTACCCCAGTGACGTTAAACGGCTCGGTGAATTCTGTTCTGAACTTCGGCAAGGCTGAGGTGGGTTGAGCATTTAGGACTGTCACGCGGTATTTCTTGCAATAGTTACAACTGCGTCGAACACTCTTAACCAGGGATCTCAGTGTTGGAACCCAATACCTCTGTCGCACTTTGTTCATGGTCGCCGCCACTCCCCTATGCAAGGTTTGTACATGGTAGTGTTCAATGATCCGACGCGCTAACGCTGATTCTCTCGGAATGAAGATAGGAGTGTAGCCCTGGATTCTTTCGTTGCACCTAATTAATCCATCTTCATCTTTGGCCAGTCTGAGGTCAGTTTTCATGTTACATGTCTCTTGTGTAATCTGAATCCATTTTTTCTCTGCTTTTCCAATTTCAGACTTGGTGATTGGTCCAACCCGTCTTGATTTCTTACAGCCATCTATGAATCGATTCACATATGCCGTTATGCGCAGTAACTTCCAGTAAGGGAACTTGTTCAACAGGCCTTCTGCCCAGTCCTTCACGGCTCCATGCGCTTTGTCCTCAGCCAGTAGCATTGTTTCTTTCTTGTGTCTCTCCGCTCTGGCCTCATCCGTTTCCAAAGTGGCTGGTTGCTCAGGTCTTGCGGACTCATCCGATAGCCAGCTTGGTCCCCTTAGCCAAAACTCTTTGAGCTTGTTTGACGCTGATCCTCTTGTACCAAGGTCACTGGGATTCTCCGTTGTAGGGACGTACCCCCAAGTTCCTGACACTGTGAGCTCGCCAGTTACCTTCACTCGATTGCGTACGAAAGTTGTCCACTCTCCACGATTCGCCAGCCAGCAGAGTACTGTAATACTCTCTACCCAGTTATGGTAGGCTGTAATGGGAAAGGAAGCCAATGCTCGGCTTACGTTGTTTTCAAGTTTCGCCAACGTGTGCGCGGCGACCAACTCCAGACGCGGGATGCTCATCTCTTTTGGCGCAACTCTTGATTTGGCTGCAAGTAAGTTCTGGTCTACTGGTGTCGAGTCTTGATATGACACAATGTACAAAGCAGCACAAACAGCAACTTTGCTCGCATCCGCAAAACCATGAATCTCAAAGTGGGTTCGATTATGCTTGAAAACACAGCGTGGTACGGTCAAGGTTGGCGCTTTCTGCAGGCTGTCTCTCCACGATTTCCATTCTCTTTGAATCTCGGCTGGTACTTCTGTGTCCCAATGTAACTTCAGAAGGCATACTTCACTAAAAAGGAGCTTAGCAGTGATAGTGACTGGAGAAGCCCATCCTAGCACGTCATAAATGCTGTTGATTGTTGAGATCATTTTCCTCTTTGTCAGAGGTTTGTCCTCCTTTAAGCAAGTTTTGAAGTCGATACTCAACGTGTCGTGCGCCTTGTTCCACAGTGTGCCCAGGATTTTAGTTTCCTTGTTTCCTCGGTTTCCTATCAGACTCTTGGCGTACGTCTCTTCTCCTTCCGTGACTTTCTCAACTGAATTTAGCTGTTCCACGTTACTGTGCCATTTGTGTAGGGTGAAACCGCCCTCTGACATGATATTGGAAGCCTCTTCTTTAAATGTAGCCGCGTGTTCTTCCACATCGCCTCCCCCCTGAATGTCATCAACATAGGTGTCTTCTAAAAGCGCCTGCGCTGTGGCCTTGAACGCTTCGTCGTAACTTTTGATGTGCTTCTGTAGAGTCGCCCCAAGGATGTACGGACTCGACGTGGCTCCAAATATCACTCGCGTAAAACGGTACTCCGCTATGTTTCTGTCCGTTAGGTTATCGTACCATAGGACCCGCTGTGCATCTCTATCTTGTTCTTGTACCCGAATTTGGAGGAACGCTTTCTGAATGTCTCCGGTTACACAGTGTTTCCGCATCCGGTTCCGGAGAAGAATGTCAAACAGGAGAGGCTGTAATGGTGGTCCAGTCTCCAAACAATCATTGAGAGAGGGGGTCTGGGTGTTGGCCCTTGATGAACAATCGTAGACAATTCTCATCTTCGTCGTTTCTGCTTGCTCCCGAATGGCTGCCTGGTGGGGAATGTAGTGCACTACCTCGCCCGTTTGATGAGGGGGTACAGGTTCCATAATTCCAGCGGCCACTTGTTCCTGCATTATCTGATCGTAGTCCTGCAGCTTACCCATTCTCTCCAGCTTCCTGGTTGTACTGTT